CAGTATGTCAGAGGAAATCTGCTAGAGTGAATATTTTCCTATTCTCACTCTCAAATTTTAATCCTAAAAAACTCACTGGAATATCTCCAAATTATGTAAGAGCTGGTTTTGACACTGCAGAGCTCTATTTCCTAATATTTTGGGAGTATGAATAAAAAGCACTATACCTACCATAGGAGAAATGCATGCAAAAAGCCAGTTCTGGACTTTTTTTTTTTCTTGATTTTAATAAGCATTTGTTGGGGGGGAAGGTGAAATTTTTTAAAAATTATACTTTAAGTTCTGGGGTACATGTGCAGATCTTGCAGGACTGTTATATAGGTATGCAGATGCCATGGTGGTGTGCTGCTTCCAACCCCACTTCACCTACATTAGGTATTTCTCCTAATGTTATCTCTCCTCAACCTCCCCACCTCCTGCTATCACTCCCCTAGCCTCCTACTCCACAACAGACTCCAGTGTGTGATATTCTCCTCACTGCGTCCATGTGTTCTCATTGTTCAATACCTACTTATGAGTGAGAATATGCAGTCTCTGGCTTTTTGTTTTTGTGTCAGTTTGCTGAGAATGATGGTTTCCAGTTCACTTGGGTCCCTGCAAAGGACATGAACTCATCCTTATTTATGGCTGCATAGTATTCTATGGTGTATATGTGCCACATTTTCTTTATCCAGTCTATCCTTGATGGGCATATGGGTTGGTTCCAAGTCTTTGCTATTGTAAACAGTGCCACAATGAACATACCTTTGCATGTGTCTTTATAATAGAACAATTTATAATCCTTTGGATATACACCCAGTAATGGGATTGCTGGGTCAAATGATATTTCTATTTCTAGATCCTTGAGGAATCGCCACACTGTCTTCCACAATGGTTTGACTAATTTACACTCCCACCAACAGTGTAAAAGTGATCCTATTTCTCCGCATCCTCTCCAGCATCTGTTGTCTCCAGATTTTTTAATGATCGCCATTCTAACTGGCATGAGATGGTATCTCAATGTGGTTTTTTATGATGTTTCTCTAATGACCAGTGATGATGAACATTTTTTCATATGTTTGTTGGCCACATAAATGTCTTCTTTTGAAAGGTGCCTGTTCATATCCTTCATCCACTTTTTGATGGGGTTGTTTTTTTCTTGTACATTTGTTTTAGTTCTTTGTAGATTACGGATATTAGCCCTTTGTCAGATGGGTAGCTTGCAAAATTTTCTTCCTATTCTGTTGCTTGCTCTAATGATTGTTTCTTTTGTTGTGCAGCAGCTCTGGAGTTTAATTAGATCCCATTTGTCTATTTTGGCTTTTGTTGCCAATGCTTTTGGTGTTTTAGTCATGAAGTCTTTGCCTGTGTCTATGTCCTGAATGGTATTGCCTATGTTTTCTTCTAGGGTTTTTATGGTGTTAGGTCTTATGTTTAAATCTTTAATCCATCGGGAGTTAATTTTTGTATAAGGTGTAAGGAATGGGTCCAGTTCCAGCTTTCTGTACATGGCTAGCCAGCTTTCCCAACATCATTTATTAAACAGGGAATCCTTTCCCCATTGTTTGTTTTTGTCAGATTTGTCAAATATCAGCTGGTTTTAGGTGTATGGTGTTACTTCTGAGGCCTCTGTTCTGTTCCATTGGTCTATATCTCTGTTTTGGTATTAGTACCATGCTTTTTTGATTATTGTAGCCTTATAGCATAGTTTGAAATCAGGTAGCATGATGCCTCCAGCTTTGTTCTTTTTGCTTAGGATTTACTTGGCTCTACAGGCTCTTTTTTGGTTCCATATGAAGTTTAAGGTGGTTTTTTCCAGTTCTGTGAAGAAGGTCAATGGTAGCTTGATGGGGACAGCATTGAATCTATAAATTACTTTGGGCAGTATGGCCATTTTCACGATACTGATTCTTCCTAACCATGAGCATGGAATGTTTTTCCATCTGTTTGTGTCCTCTCTTATTTCCTTGAGCAGTGGTTTGTAGTTCTCCTTGAAGAGGTCCTTCACATCCTTTGTTAGTTGTATTCCTATGTATTTTATTCTCTTGTAGCAATTGTGAATGGGAGTTTGCTCACAATTTGGCTCTCTGTTTGTCTGTTATTGGTATATAGGAATGCCTGTGATTTTTGCACACTGATTTTGTATCCTGAGACTTTGCTGAAGTTGCTTATCATCTTATGGAGATTTGGGGCTGAGATGATGGGATTTTCTAAATATACTATCATGTCATCTGCAAAAATTTTGTTTTTTTAACCTAGCTTGTAGGCTAGTATCTGCTGAGGAACACAGCCTCTGCTCCCTCCACTAGTCACTCAAAGAGTTTTCCCACCTCTCCAACTCCAAACCCAAGAGGCTTTCTACTTTGGTGGCGCACCTAGACATGCTTCTGTGTATGCCGAAACAGAGCAAATCAAGAACAGTGGCCAGCACCTGAAATGACTTAATACTTATCATTAAGTTGGGGAGCAATCAGAGTGGAAGAGAGGCAGCTAAAAGTTCATAGTGACTAAGGATGGTGAGTAATGAAGGGAGCATTGATTGAAGGCTGTGGTGGTCAGAGATGGCTTTGTGAGAGTGAATCACCAATACCAGGGTGGGAATCAGGTAGACCTGTGGGAAAGGAAGCACTTCCAGGTGGGTACCAGCATAAGCAACAGTCAGCTAAGGGTGTGAAGGAGAAGACTCCCCAGATCAGAGAGTGCTTGGCCCTGGGAGGGCTCAGGCATGCAATGAGGTGGGGAGGAGCAGGCATGCCAGTGTCCCTGAAGGAGCAGGTCATTACCCATTGTCACCCCTCACTCCATGCCTCGCTGCCTTGGGTATAAAGCACATTCAGTTTTATGTATCATTTGGATTTTCTCTATGCCCTTGTCAGGTAAGTGGCATAGATATCGTGGGCTTTATTTTACAGAAATAGTTTAAAAAGGAGATAAGAAAATTGGCCCAAATCACACAGCTAGCAGCTAGCCAGCCTCACAGTTTAGATCTCTGGACTTCTATTTCACAGACCGAAAAATTCATGGTTGTCGCAAAAGACACATAGCTGAATTTCCCCATTTTACAAATAAAGAAACTGAGGACCACAGAGGTGAAGCAATTTTTCCAGGGTCACACAGAAGCAGAATTTAGGAGGTTAGCTGGAAGCAGCTTTACCCAGCCTTATTTCTTATTGAAGATCTGTATTATATGAGGAAGCAGGGAGAAAAATTCCTCAAACTGCCAAAAAAGAATGGTTACTTCAACAAAACCAAGTTCTCTTCTAATGTTTAATAACCGTCAGGATAACCTTCTGTTAGCATAACTGCATTTTTAAAAATGGAAATTGTTATCTACAAAAATTAGAATTTTAAGTGAAAAAAATTATAGAAAGAAATCAAGCTGCCTGGGGTGATAGATCTATCTGGGGAGAAAGGCCTCCCCAGTCTACAGGAGCTCCTCAGAACTTTTTTCTGCCACTAATGTATTTTTATGTCTTTGTTAATCAGAGAAAAAGTTTCATTTTTAACTTTTTTTAAAAAAAAACTAAACATTGGCTCCAAACTGATAGACTCTCATCTCAGAATCTGTTAGCAAAGGATAACTAATATTTGCAGACAAGAACACTATTCAGAGACACATTATTATAATTTTTTTTACACTAGAAGTGACATGGCATGAGAAATGACTTGCTGAGAAATCTGTGTTTACATTAGGGAGAGTGGGGGTAAAATCCCTCACCGAAGTTGAAAACATGTTAAGTGGTAAATACCAAAATGCCCAGCAAGCATTTAAGCCAGCTCTCATCCTAACATGAATATGTGTAGCTCAGCATTTTAAAATTTGCTTTTAGCTTTTCCAGCAGTTTGAATTAACCCTTTCCCTACTTCCACTTTCCCCTTGAGCGTTCAGCTCTTCATCTGCAGATATGGACTGTGGGTACTGTCATGGTGCTTGGTGGCCCACTGGCAAATGATGTCCTCACCTGAACTGGTTTCCTACAAGTGGGCTGCCTCGTGAACGTGTCTCCTAAGCTTCCTTACTATCCATGTAAGGCCTAGACAAACATTAGGAAGCAAGTCCAGCTTGAATGGATTGGAAGAGGCCTGTCAGAGCAAAACAATACAAATCAATGCTGCAATAAAGGTATATCCAGACCAGAGGTTCTCCAGAGCAGAATCACCTCAGAGAAACTGTCAGGTGACCCCAGCATCTGTAGCTGTAAATGATCCTCAGGTGATTTTAAGTATATTCCTCATTCAAAGACACTAATCTAGATTCTCTAAAAATCCAATGACATTTTAATCTTAGTTTCAGCTCCTAGCAAATGAAAACAAAACAAAACAAAACAAAAAAACAAAACAAGCCACCAAAATAAAACATTTTTCCAGGTTAGGTTTATCTTAATACCTAACTGGCTATAAAACTTATTTACAGCCTGAGTGAATACCAATTATATACAAGAAAGGTAAGGATTTAATGAATATTTGTATAATACTTTGCAATATCTTATCATGCATTAATGATCTCATGTGGTTCTCACAGCAACCCTATGAGGTAGCTTGTTATTTTCAAATTAAAGATGAGGAAAATAAGTCTCAGGAACATGAAGATTTGCTCAAGAGCCCTCAAAGAGTACAGCAGAGCAGCTATGGGGTTGACAAGTAGAGGGATAGAATTACCAATTGTTTTATTACTATAGGTAAAAAAGAAATTTTAATGTTTAAATATTTCCTATAGCTTTTTAGAAAACTTCTAATTACTATGCCACACTTTGCTGGTAAAACAACTTATCGCACAGTAAAACACTGTGTTTTTTTCTTTCTTCTACATCTATCTGTCTGTCTACACAAACACCCACACATACACACACACACACACACACACACACACACACACACACTCTCTCTCTCTCTCTCTCTCTCTCTCTGTCTCTCTGTCTCTCTCTCTCTCTCTCTCTCTCTCAGAGTAAAACAGAAATAATCTATTGTTCCTGAGTTTGATTGTGGGAGAATCATTTAAGATAGGTCATTTATAAAACCAGTTTCAGGAACATGTAAATCCAGTAATTTAATTTTTGTATATCTTACATTAAAATGAACACACAAATACATTTCTCCCTTCAATCTCCGTATCAGACAAATGGAAGTGAACTACTTGGCCTAGAAAAGAATAACCCGCAAGTGAAATGTTGGCACTCCTAGTATTAGTAAGTTAGACTCATTTTTTGCTATTTATAGTAATTTGTGTCTTTTTTTCCCCCCCGAGACAGGGTCTGGCTCTGTCACCCAGGCTGGAGTGCAGTGGTACAATCTCGGCTCACTGCAAACTCTGCCTCCTGGGCTCAAGCCAACCTCCCATCTCAGCCTCCTGAGTAGCTGGGACTATAGGCACATATCACCATAATAGGGAAATTTTTGTATTTTTGTACAGACAGGGTTTGAACAAAATCTTTTGCCCAGGCTGGTCTCGAAGTCCTGGGCTCAAGTGATGCTCCCACTTTGGCCTTTCAAAGTGCTTGGATTACAGGTGTGAGCTACCATGCCTGTCCATGATTTACATCTTTGAAGTGTTTCTTCTAAACACTGAGTCTATCAAATATCAGTTGCTGCAGACATTTGCGTCCAAAGGAAAAATAAGCCATATCGCATCTTGGTAAGATGAAATATTCCACAGTATTGGTCCTATTAAAGCCAGGACTGGCCAGGTAAACTCTTGGTGTTCTTTGTGCCACAATTCTAAGCTCAATAGAAGAATCTGAAGAATATAAAACAAAGGCAACAGAATAAAAGAAGACTGACTGAGCAGTACAGACTTATTTAAGAATATCAGTACTAAAAGAAAACCATCCACTCTTACCACTGAATGCATGCTACTTATAGCAAAGTAAAATATTTCTGGATTGGTGGGCCCCAACCTTTTTGGCACCAGGAACTGGTTTCAGGGAAAACCCCTCAGATCATCAAGCATTGGTTAGAGTCTCATAAGAAGCGTGCAACCTAACCCCTCGCATGTGCAGTTCACAATAGAGTTCACACTCCTATGAGGACCCAATGCTGCAGCTGATGTGAGAGGAGGCAGAGCTGAGGTGGTAATGCTTGCTTGCTTGCTCACCAGACGCCGGTCACTTCCTGCGGTGAGGCCTGACTGCGGACCATGGCTGGGGGTTCGGGGATCCGTGTCCTAAGTAACTTGGTAGGGGACTAATTGGAAAACTAAAAAATAAGTCAGTGTGTGCACACTAATGACAAAAGCAAATTTAATATTTAGTGGGATGAGTCCAAATGCAATGGAGACACTGATTTTTGTAATAGCAAAACATTAAATCCAGCCTTTTCTTTTACCTTGTTAATCGACATTTCGTTGATCCTGAGAGGTTGCTTTGGCATAACTCAGAGGTAGATTCAGCCCAACAACCGGCCCTACAATGCTCAGCCATGATGTGATATAGTTGACAATCCTAGGAAACAAATGAAATACAGGCCATGCTACTGTTTCCATTGCAGTTTTTGGATGAATGGAAGAATATCAGTGGTCACTGATTCTGTAGTTTTTGGATTAATGGTAGAATATCGGTCAGTCACAAACAGAAATGAGGCATTCTTCAAAGATGTATACCTACCACCTGGAATCTCAGCATTTCTGAATGCCAGCCCCATTGCCAGACAAGAATTTAAGGTCTAGAAAGCCTGCAAGGTCCCTCATTAGGGTGGCTGAAGGATGAAGTAAGGCACTGGGGCTCCTGATTCCCCTTGATTCAAATTTTACCCTTAACAGTTTACAGCACTTACTAAGGTAGCAGAGTGCAGTGATTAAGAGCACGATTCTGAGGCCAAAATGCTTAGACTGAAATCCCACCAGTTAACTAGCAGCGTGCCCTTGTTTGAGTTACTTAACTCCTTCGTTCTATCACTTTCTCCTCTGTAAATTGGGTAAAAAAATGGTACTTAGCATACAGGAATGCTGCAAAAATCCAGTCCCTTACTATATCTAAAACTCTTAGAACAGCACCTAGCATATCGTAAAAATCAATGTGTTAGCCATTATTGTTATTATTATTACAAAGAATATTTCTTTTTTTAGCCTAGTTTTTAGAGTCACATAAAAAGATTTACACTTTTAAAATCAGAGTAGAAGCCAATGTATCTTGAGGGTATTTCTTACTTATTGATTTTCCGAGAATTCTTTAATACAGGAGTCATGAATTCATTCGTCTTGCAGGGATGAAGTACAAAAAAGGGTTGCCCAAGTATTGGATGTTCCTGTAAGAATCAGAGTTGGTCCAGGATCAGTGTGAGTTACTTGGAAAAGGTTATCTGCTTTACTCCTTTAAAAAAAAAAAGGTTTGTCTTAAATTCCGAGTTATTGAATTAATATAGAGGCTTATTTTGTATTTTCAAATATAATGTATAATCCAAACATCAGAAAAAGTTGGTGAGAAGGGGGGCTATTCACTGATGAAGCATTATGGTTGAGTATAGCAGGGCACCCAGCTTTGTTTACACAATATAAACTGTAGTGGCATTTTATCAGTTCCCTCTCTCTGTTGGCTAGTGTTTCTCTTTGGCCTATCATTCTTCAGTTTTCCCTCAAGAATGTTCACAAAGCCCAGCAGTTTGACAACCTAAACAGTTCATTTTATTCACCTCTTTGTCAGTGGTAAGGGAATCAAAATCATTTGCATATTTACACAAATTTGTCAACATGTTGTTTCAAGCCTACCTGTATCTTGTGCCAGTGGGCACATGTTCTGGGAGTGGAACGGCGAATGAAAGGCGATGCTTTGCACTATTTAAGCTGTTCTCTCTCCCTCACTAATCTCTATCTCTGAGTTTTTGTTTTTCTTTTTCCTTATTTCTCTCCTTCTGTTTCTCCCAAGCCTACAGGGCTGTTTCTATAAGTTAAAAGCCTAAAATCAAACTCTGTTCCTTTTATACGGTAATAATTGGCTATAAAATATAGCTCAGACTGCACCCAAGTCAGGGACACAGACCTTATTTGGCAAGCAATGGGGAGCCCTAGAAGGTTTCCATTTAGTGGGTAATTTGCACGAGTTCTACCAACACGAACACTATTATTTAATGATACATTATTGATTATTTACATTGTGGATTAACCATTATGCTAGGCACTGCAAGCTCAAATACCTATGAAGAACAAGCAGGTGACCTAAGGGGATAATGCCAGCTAAATACACCAGCAGATGACAGGGCCCCTGAGGAACTGCAGAGTGCACCCATCCGAGGCCATGCTGGCTATGCTCCTCTGGCCACTGTGTCATGTGGGAATGCAGGTTCAGCATGCCAGAACTTCTCATTTGTGAAACTAACCTAGAAAATCCAACATTGATGTTAAACCTACTACTTTTATGTGTTGGCATAATTTATTTTTAAACATGGAGTGGGACAAGTAAAACAGGCTTATAGGCTGGATTTAGACTAGGGGAGGCCTAGCTTCTGCTTTTGGCTTCTTAGCCAACCCAAGGAGAAGTTGAACTCAGGGCTGTTGATGGGAAGAATTATGTGGCTGTCCCTGCTGCCTCCACCCCTCAGCTATGAACATTTACGTCTGCGGGCATATGCACACATCCATTCACAAGAACTGGGAGGGACAGTTCCACTTGCATTGGTGACACTGGGTATGGAGATCTGGGTTGGCGGTGGGGAGGGATGAGTTATCCACTAGTTATAGGTTATTGCATGTGTCTGGCCTTTTTAGTACCACCTGGCATTTTTTTCTCCCTGAATACCACCTCCAGGTAACTCTGACCAGTAGCCTGATTTTCCAGCAAGGCATCAGCTTCCTCTCTACAGTTCTCTTCCCAACCTTCATTGCCATCCCTAACCGGGCCCTGGGCTCAAAGCCCTGATGCGTTGTGCCTATGTCAAGTCCTCCTGTCCAAGTTGAGTCTAGTTTCCCTTATCTGCCTTAAACTAACATTTAGTAATTCAACACATATTAATCAATCATCTTTTTTTATGTGTCTGCCAGAATACTTCTAGGTATAGTTATAGAGACCACTGTATCTCTTAGATAAACAAAGTCCCTGATGCACTGGAACTTAGATTCCAGTGCAGGAAACAGCCAATAAACACACAGAACAAATAAGTAAGATAATCCAGATAATTATTCATCCTATGAAGGAAAAACAACAGGGTAACATGATTCTGGAGGGATTGTGATGACATTAGAGTTGGAAAGGGAAGGCCTCACAGAAGAGTTGATACAATGGACTGAATGTGTATGTCCCTCTAAAATTCATATGTTGAAATCCTAACCACCAAAGTGATGGTATTAAAAGGTGGGTTCCTTTGCAGGTGATTAGGTCATGAGCGTGAACCCCTCATGAATGGGATTAGTGCCCTTATAAAAAAGACCCAGAGAGCTCTTTCACCTTTTTCCTATCATGTGGGGATACAGTGAGAAGATGCCATCTATGAAAGAGAAAACAGGTCCTTACCAGGCACTGGATCGTCCAGTACCCTCATCCTGGATTCCATAGCCTTCAGAACTGGGAGAAATACATGTTGGTTGTTGAGTCACCCAGTCTATGGTATTTTTGTTCTGACAGCCTAAATAGACTAAGACAAGGTGCTACTTAATCAGAGATCAGAATGACAAGGAAAGAAAATACCCATGCAGAGGTTTAGGAACAGAATGTTGAGGCCGATGACCCTAAGGGGATATGAGCACAGGAAATATGCAGGAAAAATGCAAAAAAACAAAACAAAACAAAACAAAAAAACCAAAAACAAAAACAGAATCATTCTAGACTAAAATAATGACTGTTTAGAAAGATTTAAAAAGATAAATGTAGTCTAAATTCTTTTGGGATAACTTACATAGTTACCTATGGAAGGAATAAAAAGCTACAATCCAATCTTATTGATGTAAAGACACGTTATCTTCTTTAATAAAATGAAACCTAGACTTCCAAATTTCCACTGGATAGAAACACGTATAATAGAGAGGATCAGTTCAATCACACAGCCTCTGCTCTCTCCAAGACCCACTCTCCCTTTGGCATCTCTTATCTAAGAGGTGGACAGGCACTTACCGTTCAGGGGACTGTTTTCTTGGAGGAGTCTTAGGACCATGGCACACTGCAGCTCTGCTCATTCGATGCTGCTTTGTAAAGACTTGGACTTTACTTCTCTAAATCTTTTTCTCATTCCACATAGCAAGCAGGTAAGTGCATGCATGAGCTCTGCAATTAATACTGTTTGGGGCCAAGTCCTGCTGTACCACTTGGTAGCTGTGAGCTATTGGGAAAGTCACTTAACCATTTTATGTCTTTGTCTCCTCGTCTGGTAACTGTGGCTAATGATAGCATCTGCCTCAGAGACTTGACTGTGACCCTTAGATATGGTATTAGATAATACCATAGAAGTACGTAGAACAGTACCTGATGCCTAGCAGACACTTAATTGGCTATTAGTATTTAATCCATTTATATCTAAACAGAAAATGATAACAGCTGGACATTCAGAAAGTAGTTTTATGGTACCCTATGTTAAAGCCCAATTTCAATCTAAAAATAGGAAGCTCTTGTAAATTAAGTAGCATATTAAAGGTATCACTGACCAGTACTTAAGTGTTTAGGAATATTTGACAACTGATTATAGGTGAAAGGAAGAAAGGTCTAAATTAGTAAAAAGTCTATGTCTATATGGCAACTAGAACTATCATGATATTTGTATTCAGGTTTAAAATAAAATTAATGAAAAACAACTAAAATGAATTTAAATTAAAATAAAAGCTCAGGTACTTCAAAAACTCTTCAGTAATCTCTAACATTATAATATTCATTTTTCCTCAAAGAACATAAAACAGTCATATTAGCATTTAAGGTTACGTTCTAATAAAATAAAATGCATGGTGATGTTCATGTAAAACATTTTTAAAAATAATTGAAACTTTCATGCCTCTGAAGAGCTTTTAGAATAGCTTGAGCATTTCTTTAATGCAGGTTTGGCCATCTTTAAAAAATTCTTTATCCTTTACTATACTGAGACCTTATATTAAAATTAAATAGAACATATTAAAATGAATGACTGTCTTTAAAAACTGTAAGTTTAAATGTATTAAAAAATTGGATTTTAAGATAAAAATTATATTGCTTTTACAAAATGCTTTTGGTTTAAAAGAATCAAGCCTATGATATGCTTATCAGCTTAAAATAGGAATTATATAAGATATACTTATGTAATCTTTTAGAATTTTATAAATTAATAACAACAGCAGTGGATGTCCAACTTTGACAGAATAAAGAGGTCAACAAATCCTCTCCCCAGAAAATAAGTAAAAAAAATGAACAAAATTGTTAAAAACAAACCATTTTTGGGTCCTGGAAATCAACAAAGGGCAAATATAAAATCTGAGAAGTGTTTAGTTCACGATAATCTGCTAAACTTCAAGTAAGAAACAGAAGGGATCTGAAGCCTTCTTGCCTGGAAGTACTTTCATATCCCCTCCTCCTCTTCCCCAATGTCCCCAGCCACTCCATCAACAGAAGTTTTACCAGAGCAGTCTGACCATAAGAGCCAATAACTGTGTGGCCAGAGGGGCCAGCCTGATTTCCAACAGAGAGCTAAAACTATTGCTCAGCAGCACTGTCAATACAAACAGCAAAACAGGTACTAAATGAAAAGGAAAAACTGCAGCTCTGCTGGTCAGAGGTTGCAATCCCAGTTGAGGCAAGCGGCAAACTACCAATAATTTAATGGGTAGAATCTGGAAATAAGACAGTCAGAGAAGGGGTAGGTAAGTTCTCCAGGCATCACTGGCTGATGGAAAGGGGATGTTCAGGAGAGACACAAGAAGGCCTGATTGGAAGTAAGAGCCAAGACCAACATGAATTCTACTTGAATTTTTAGTGTGTTTCCAATTCATGTACACATCCACTGACAAAAGAAAAAGGCATTATAGGCTTGAAGTATTTAAGCGCAATCATTTCCGTCCAATCATTGGCCAAGCTGCCAGCTTTACAGACATAGCTGGATAACTCTGAGGAAGGCAGTCTAAAAAATAAAAATAAGAATTAAAAACCCAGTAGCAGAGACATCAGTGACCACACTTATAGGGGGGAAAAAAAACCCTGCAGATAAAGCCTAGGAAAGTTACTAAACCAAACGAAAACAACAACAACAACAAAACACAACCCTCAGGAAAAAATATTGGAATCCAGAATTGCTGCAACATATCATCTAAAATGTCTAGTTTTCAAAGGCATTTATGTGACATGCAAAGAAACCAAAAAGTG